TTTTCCAGCCTGAATAATTCCATGATTTATTGAAAGACTGATGTGCTCAAAGGGTTTTCCCTGAGCTGGGAGTTCTCCTGGCTTCAGAGTGCTACCAACCTGCTGCCATTCATCTCTTTGCTCAGCCAGACCAAGTCCCACCTCAGGGCTGTGCCAAAGCTCTGGAATTCATCTTTATTCATGAGGGAAAGTCATTCTCTGCTGCTTCCTAGATAAGCTTCGACCACAATTTGCTGTGAGTGTAGATATGAATCCAATAAATGGGTTTTTAATGCTCCAGTCTGCCAGTTCTGCAAAGCAGTGTGAGAATTGACCTGTTTTCTGTTTATTAACCTTTCAAAGGGAGAGGAAATGAGAGCTCTTGTGTCACTGTGCTTCTTGCAGCTATTTCTGAGCCAGAACCTCCTAGAGCAGGGCTCTGAGTGAGGCTGGGGCAGCCCTTGGCTTGCTGGTGGGGTATTTGGCTTGCAGAGAGGAAGGCTGAGCTGCTGGGTAGAGGGATCTGAGCTCCAGCTTCTTCAGAGGCATGAAGGATTTCTCCCTGCTGCCCTCCAGGAGATATTCAGCTCCAGAGAGCACTTCAGAGTCTGGCAAGGAAGGGCAGGGCAAAGCTGAGGGTGTGGGAGTCACAGTAAAAATAATTAAAATGGGGAAAAACCCCTCTTCTTTTAAAAATTTTTATTTAATTTTTAAAGTTTATTTTTATAATGACAAGTCATTATAAAAAATAAAAAAACTATCCTTAATTGGATAAACTGTCCAATTAAGAAATGACACCTAAATTATTTTTACTTTTAACCCAATAACCAACCACCCATGCCCTGCAATGGGGACATTTTTATCCAGTTACACAAAACCACCCAAACCCATGGAGAAGAAGAAGGAGGAGAATGTGAAGGACCAGCCTCCGCCCCAAAACCTCCATCTTGCTTTATATCCATTACTGTATTCTAAACCCTTAAACTCTGAGTTTCCCACCCTGTGGTATCACACACTTCTATCCAAACTCCACACCCACAATCCCAGTTCTGTCATTCCATTCTGGAAGCTTCTCCACGGCCTCAGGTCAGTGCAGTGTTCTCTGGGGGGTCAGTGCCCAGCAGCACAGAAATCTGAAACTCTCAGCAGCCAATTCCAACAATATCCTAACACTGACTTTAAAGACTGCACCTGAGACACCCAGAGAGGTGGTAAATGCTGCTGAATTGGGAAAGCCACACACTTAATTTTATACAGCTCCTCCAGATTCACCTGGAATGCTTCCCGAAGTAAAGCACAGCCTCTGGCAGTGTGCATCCTCTGGTTTTTGGGACAGGCAGGTGAGCAGAGCAGTTCTTTTGATGGGAATGGAGAGAAGCTGTGGTTTTAACTCATTGCCACTTACTGCACTGGGTGAGGATTGATAAATACATGTGTACGCTTCCTGCAGACACTGAGTAAACATTTATAATTAATTAATTAATGGGGAAGCACTTAGCAATCCCCAAACGCAATCTGATCTGGCCAAACTTGTCCTCTTTGCTGCATCCAGGTGATGCCACAGGGAAGAGAGGGATTTCCTTCTTTCAAGGCACCGTGCAGCTCTTTCTGCCCTCAGATGGATTTTTGCCTGCCAAGCCCCCACTCCCAGCAGTTTTCCAAGATAAAATCTGTCGCCATGATATTTTCTGAAAAATCCCTTTGCCAGGATTTTTCTCCTGAGAAGCTGAGAAGCCTCAGAGGAAAAGAAAAACAATTATTATCACCTGCTGTGGAATGTAACAGGTGCATCTGTGATTGGTCCTTGTTGATTGTTTTTAATTAATGGCCAATCACAGTCCAGCTGGCTCAGACTCCCTGGTCAGTCACACGATTTTGTTATCATTCCTTTCTATTCTTTTCAAGCCTTTTGATGAAATCCTTTCTCCTATTTCTTTGGTATAGTTTTAATATAGCATTTTCTTTTAATATAATATATATCATAAAATAATAAATCATCCTTCTGAAACGTGGAGTCGAGATTCTCATCTCTTCCCTCATCCTGGGACCCCTGTGAATACCACCACAAAAGTCTGTCAGTTTAGGGGGAAGAAAAGCATTTTCTGGAAGGCTATTTAGTAAATGTTGTCTGTGTGCTGGGTCAGATGAAAGGGCACGAAGCTTTACCTGAACTTGTGATGGGATTATTACAGCACTGGACTGGGCATTCAAAGAATTTTGCAGGTATCAATCTTTGATTGTTCCTATTCTTTAAACTCCAGATATTCTCTTCTGCTCACTAAAAATTACTGATTTTCCTGAACTGCAGATAATTAGCACAAGAAAGACACAGAACAGGGTCCCCAGAGAAGCTGTGGCTGTCCCTGGATCCCTGGAAGTGTCCCAGGCCAGACTGGATGGAGCTTGGAGCAACCTGGGACAGTGGCAGGAATTTGGAATGAGATGATCTATAGGATCCATTCTAACCCAAACCATTCCAAGATTTGCTTATTCTCACAGGCAAAGCCAGAGTTCTGCTTTCCATTCCCTTCTTTATTTATTGCAGAAATATTTTCAGCATGTCTGGGACAGCAATGAGGAAGATTGGTGTGGTAAGAGCTATCAGGCACGTACAGGGTGTGTTTACAGAAGCAATAATTTGTAAAAATACACTTTATGTGTCTTGCAAGGCCAGTTTCACTTTCCTTTTATCAGAAAGAAAGAAAGCTTTTTATACAAAAGTGAGTACCTAAAAGCTTTCTTCACACATCACAGGTGGTGCTGAAAAATGTCAACAGAGAAAAAGATACAGATCACCAAAACTCTCAGAGTGCATAATTCAGGGCATTTAAAAAGCCATCTGATGCTATCAGATAGCTTTTATTTTGTATTATAACCTATCATGAGGTAATGGCTGCACTCCAATTTATTGCACTTGGTGGAGGAAAAGATTGCAGAACGTGAAATATTCCACCATGGAATCATTTTCCATGGAATCTTTAATATCCTGCCCCTGTTGGAGCTGCTGGCTCTTTGGTGGGAGATAAGTGTGAGGCTGTGAGAGCTGAGCTGGGCACCTGATACCAGGACCTGAAACCTGACTTCTAATGAGCTCTGCACGGAGGAGATACCATCAGTTATTCCCTTTTTCAGGCTCTGATAAACTCAGCTCAGGACTTCATTATTTAAAAAGTTCAGTTTGTTCAGGGAAGAAGAGGGGAGGAAAAATCTGTAAGATCACTTTGAAAGCCAGCTAAGGGTTCTTTTTCAGCTTCAAAGCATTTCTGTGTGCTCTCTATTGATCTGAGACAGATCTGCCTGGTGATGACACCAGCCCTTTCCTTAGCTCGGGGAGTAAAAGATGATTTAAAGGAGGAATTTGGGTGTAATTACCAACAAGTGCAGCCTGACAGGGGTTCTCATAGGCACTTGAGGAGTATTTCCTCAACATTTTGTCACCACTTTGTTCCTCACACCCCAGACTCCCCTGTGGGGCTGGTGACCTCAACAGCTCATGAGTCACATTTGGGGGAGTGTTTCCATCTGATGTGCTGTTAAATGTTAAATAACATTTATTATGGGACAAACAACTGAGAGCAGAGGTGCTGGAAGCAGGGAGCTCTGCTGACAACCCATCCATCTCACCCAGGCAGCAACTGAAGTGCCTGGCTCTTGGAAATATAAAGCAGGGGGGAAAATGTCAAAATTCTGCTAAGAACTCTAAAATGGTGACGTATCAATGTAAAAATGTGTTTGAGTCCTTTTTTGTTTTTTAATTCAAACCTGCCAACTCCTTTTGGCTTCAGCATTAACATTACATGATCCAACAGTGCAGCATGCATGGGGTGTTATTAATGCCTTTTGAGAAATAAAAGGGCAAAATCAAAACATTAGAAATCTGTGGAAAGGACATGGTATTTTTTCTTTTGATTCTACCCAGAAAATCTTCAGCAATGCCTCATTTTGACAAACCCCTGTGTTTTCTCCCTGTGTTGGTTATTTCATCACTCCCAGATTGAATGTGCCACCTTCCCTCACTCCTCTCCTGGCCACAGCACTGTCCCTGCTCAGCCTCTGCCACAGACATATTTTATGAAAAATCCTTTTGCTAGGATTTTTTCTCCTGAGAAGCTGAGAGGCCTCAGGAACACAATGTAAACATTGATTATCTGCTGCTGTGGAATGCAACAGGTGCATCTGTGATTCGTCCATGTTGGATGTTTGTAATTAATAGCCAATCACAGCCCAGCTGTCCGGACTGGCTCAGTCAGTCATAAGCCTTTGTTATCATTCTTTGCTATTCTATTCTTAGCTAGCCTTGTGATGAAGCCCTTTCTTCTATTCTTTTAGTATAGTTTTAATATAATGTGTATCATAAAATAATAAATCAGCCTTCTGAAACATGGAGTCAGATCCTCATCTCTTCCCTCATCCAAAGACCCCTGTGAACACCACCACAAGCCTCCAGAAGTGTTCTGTTTCCCTTTTTATGAAGAAAACTGCTTCTGGTGAAGGGATTTTGGTCCTTGACCCCTTGATTGTCATCTGTGTCCCCTTCCTGCTGTGAGAGCTGCACAATCACTGCAGTGGGGAGGAAAAGATGATGGCATTTGGGGGAAACACAGAAGGAAGGGGAAAATGTTCAAGTTTAAATCACAGATTCAGATCAGGTGTTCTAATGCAACAGGGAGTGACAAGGGCAAGGAAGAGAGATGTTTAATTAGGAATTTTTGCCTTTTTAATCTAGGAGAAGACACTGTTCTTGTATCAAGCCTGATTTGCCATTTTTTTCTTTTTTTCTTTTTTTTTTTGCCCTTATATGCAGTTCTGTCCATAGTGATTTCTGGAAAATTACAGTGCTGAATTTTAGGAACTGGGAACTGGGGGAGCTAAAAGCTGTGTGTTTAAAGGAAATATTCAGCAAGGTTTCATTCCAAAAGGTGCCTGTGCTGGGGTGAGGGGCTCTACACACCTTTGCAGAGCTGCCCTGCTGCATCCAGCACTCCTGAGTGCTCCAGCATCTGCTTTTGTCTCTTCCCCAGGCTGCAGGAGGCAGTGGGACAACATCACGTGCTGGCCTGAAGCAGAGGTGGGAGAAGTTGTGGTACGGCCATGCCCCAAGTACTTCAGGTTCCTGACCTCCTACCTGGGTAAGCAAATCCCAAATCTGCTCCACAGCTTCACTCCCAGGGGGGTTTCTCATCATTCCATGGGGGGAACATCTCAATAAAGAGGGAGAAACCAGCTCTTAGCCTGAGCTTGTCGCCACATTTCTCTTCAGAGAAAAGCAAGGCTCAATTCTCCCCAAGAATATTTCTGAGTTTCACGTTCTCTGAACCTCAGAGAAAGGAAAAACAATATTTATGTCATTTGCTGTGCCTCTGTTTGTGCAAAAGTAGAATGCAATGTGGAGATTGTTTACCCAAAATGATGGTGTTTTGGTTCTTTGGCCTGTCAGGGCCAAGTGTGTAACCCCACATTTCTCTTCACAGAGAAAAGCAATATTCTCCCCAAGAATATTTATGAGATTCACATTGTCTGAACCTCAGAGAAAGTAAAAACAATTCTTATTTCATTTTCTGTGCCTGTGTTTGTGCCAAAGCAGAATGCAATATGGAAATTGTTGGTGTTTTGGTTCCTTGGCCTGTCAGGGCCAAGTGTGGGTAACCCCACATTTCTCTTGACAGAGAAAGGCACAATTCTTCCCAAGAATATTTCTGGGTTTCATGTTCTCTGAACCTCAGAGAAAGGAAAAACAATATTTATGTCATTTGCTGTCTCTGTGTTTGTGCAAAAGTAGAATGCAATATGGAGATTGTTTATCCACAGAGATGGCGTTTTGGTTCTTTGGCCTGTCAGGGCCAGGTATGTAGCCCCACATCTGTCTACACAGAGAAAAGCAAGGCACAATTCTCCCCAAGAATATTTCAGAGTTTCATATTCTCTGAACCTCAGAGAAAAGAAAAACAATTCTTGTAATTTGCTGTGCCTGTGTTTGTGCCAAAGTAGAATGCAATGTGGAGATTGTTTACCCACAGTGATGATGTTTTGGTTCCTTGGCCTGTCAGGGCCAAGTGTGTAACCCCACATTTCTCTTCACAGAGAAAAGCAAGGCACAATTCTCCCCAAGAATATTCTTATCTCATTTGCTGTGCCTGTTGTGCCAAAGTAGAATGCAATATGGAGATTGTTTTTCCTGCAGTGAAGGTGTTTTGGTTCCATGGCCTGTAAGGGCCAAGTGTGTGTGTGTATTGGGAGTGAGGGTGACAGTCACAAAACTGTGAGGGTGACAGTCACAAAACTCTACAAAACTGTGCAGTTGTGTGTAGAGTTTACTGCTTGACAGATTCACTTTAGATGTAATGTAATATAATATAGAATAATATACTATAATAAAGTAATTAATCAGCCTTCTGGTATCAATGGAGTCCTCCTCATCATTCCTCCCTGCCACAGGGGTTGTCCTGTTTGGACATGAGGTGAAGGAGGTTTCCAAGCCATTCATGAATTCCCGAACATCAAAACATCCTCCCTGCACTTGCAGCAGCACTGCTGTGCACCACAGGGGTGCAAAAATGGCTCCTGGTGAAATCCAATAATATGGATGTTTTGCAGTGAAAATTGAATCAACCTGTGGGACAGTTGTGTTTGTTGTGCAAAATGAGCAGTTTAGCACAATCATTAATGAAGTCTCTGACAGAAAATGAACAAGCTGGAACTGGATGTAATAAAGTTGGGGTTTTTTTTTACTGCTGGAATGACAAATCTGACCACAGGCCAAGGAATTAACCTGACAAATAATGGGCAGGGGAGGCTAATGGAGGAGGTGCCTTAACTCACTGTTCAGGGTGTTCTGAGAAGCTTTAGTTTAAAACTCAGGTCTCAAGGGGCCGTGCAGCAACAGGGCTGATTGTGCCTCCTGGTAGTGTACAGTTATTTTTCACTATTTTTATTGTAGAAGCTCTGAAGACCTTAACAGAGAATTAAGTTCTTTTTCACTGGAAATCCTGCATTGAGCTGACCCTCCATTTTTAAAGCCTGTAGTGCAAATACACAGGATAAATTAGGAATGAGGGTAGGGGCACAATATCACCCCTGTTCTACTGGCCTGGGCACTGCACTCATTTACCAGCACATGCTGATTACGTGACTTGCCCAAGGCCACACCAAAATTCTTTGCAGGCACAGAAGGGAAATTCAAAATCCCTGGAGTCCTATCCTGTGGATTCTCGGCTTCTTTTTTTCTGTCAGGATCGGGATTAAATGTGTGAGATGGTATTTCTTGTTGGGACTCAGATGTTTATCAGTTCTTATCTCTGTCACA